CATTAAGCTTGCTCCCTTATCTCCTCCAGATTTTCCCTCAAATGTTACCTCTCAATGAGGACCATCCTGACTACTCTCAATATCCCTTACCTTGATCTATGGTTTTCTATAGTTCTTATCACCTTATAACATACTACACTATGTGTTACATTACATTATCTGTCCCCCTGCCAGCCCCAGCCCAAGGCCTGCTCCCCACCCCTAGCATATAAATTTCACAGGGGCAGAGATTTTTCCCTATTTTGTTCACTAATATATCCTAAGAGGCTAGAGACAGTGCATGGAACATGGAGGGTGCTTGCTAAATATTTGTTGAGTGAAGAATTGAAGAGTAATTCACATTAGTAGATCTTTTGTAATTTCTTGACCTTCCTGGATGTGCTCATTGGGAACAGGCGAAAGCCCCACATGTCTGCAATGACCGAAGATCAGGCATTACACCCTCCGGCTGCCCTTTTCACCACCCAAGGCTTTTACTTGCCTCCCTCTCACCTCATTTTTAAAATTATTTCTTATGGAAGTGTTTTCCTGCTTTCTGCTTTTAACCTCAAAGCTTCTCACACTCTTTCCTAAGTCATTTCTGTTGTCCCTTTCCGGATCATTCCCATTAAGTCCTTTTTTACAATGTGATGACCAAAACCCTAATGTGGCATTCCTGGAAGGAAAGCCCCAGCCAGGAATGTCACAGCTCCAGAGCCTTTTCAGAATTCTCCATCCTCTAATTAGGATGGCCACACATCTCAGCTGCTGCTTTTGACTGCTGCTGTGAGCTGAATGTTGATGCCCATCATTGTGCCTAGATAATTTCCCTGAGCAGCTAAAACTAATAATCAGTGGTATTTTCAATAGAGCCTTCCTATTTAGTCTGGGTGAGTTATTTAGCACTTCATTTTTTTTCAGTTGAATTTAATTCCTTGTCATGTTTCCTAATTAGAAAGATTTACGGGATTCATTTTGATTTTTTGAAAAATTCCTTCCCAGGAATGCTTATCTCAGCTTCAGCAAATGTTTCATCTGCTTACTTCACCTCTCAATTCCTGCTGGGGTTGTTAACGTGTCAGACTTCAAGAGCAGGGCTGATTCTGGGGCTGCCTCATTGTTGGCTCTTTTTCAGACGGAGGCTGCGTCTTTATATTCAAGGCCGAGGGGCACAAATGCAGCTTTTTCTCCCTTACTCCCGCACCCTCCTGTGGCCCCTCGTCTCTCCTTTAGCGCCTTCTTCCAGTCCCCTGCGTCTCCTTTCTGTCGAATCCAGGCTGTCTCCCATATGCATTCCTAGTGCTCCCCCATTTCTGGCTGTAAATGTGGCCTCTAAAAATAAAAACAATTATGAAAATAACATTAAAATAATAGATACTACTATATTCTGCATCTTACACTTACTTGGTTCTCTTTTCTCCTTCGATTCTCTTAAGGGAGATTGATTTTTTTTCCACACATTTACCTTGCTGCTTTCTTCATTCATCTACCTGTTTCCTCCCCCTGATTATTTTCATGCTTTCCAGCGACAGGTCTCCTCTGCTCCTTTCTTCTCTTCTCTCCTTTCCCTTGGGCATTTCCTTCCTCCCTTCCTGGCATTCAAAACGCTAATAAACTCAACCATTCAGGGTCCCTGGGCTGGGTTGAGCACAGCTTAAAAACACCCCCACCCAGAACACACATTAGAAAACAGGACAGATAAAGTGAAATGTCTTGCATTTGTCTGGTCTTCCCGAGAAAACTAGTGAGGGCAGGCGGTCAGTATGCACAGTTCCTACTGCTGGGCACTTAGCCCAGAACTGTGATGCAGAGGGGAGCATTCCCAGCGCCAGACTCTGTGTAACAAGGACAATTTCAGGCATCACATGCAGAGAGTAATCTACCGAAAGACGGTGAGAGGTTGAGCCCAGTGATGGAGCCCACCCTTCAGCAAGTTATAGGAAAGTGCAGTGACGTTTTCTACGAGGATATTTTAGAAAGTCCCAGATTCATTACATTTCCACGGCAAAATAAGAAGTGGATTATTGTTACTTACAAACCCAAATACCTAAAGGGCCCAGGTAGGTAATTTAAATGAGGATAAGAGATATTGGCCTGGTAGCCCGAAGTGAACCCTGAGAGCCTGAGAGGCTACAGGGGTCAGTGTGCCTTTGGCCAGTCGTTGGCATCTGAGAAAGTGTCTAAGGGAAGCTGGAGAGCCACGTTATCTAATGTGACACTTCCCAGTTTGAATATAGTGGCCACATATCAAAAAATTTTAAATACTTCATATGTGCTAAAGCTCATTAGCTACCAGTTTGCCACCCCAGGATTAAAAGACCATTAAGGTCCCTTCCCACATTTGCTCTCTAACTCAGTGGTCATAAATCTGGAATAATAAGGAAAAACATTATTTCTAAAATTTGTACAGCTATTTTCAGTTTATGAAATATGTTCCTTTCCTACTACATTAGAATATAGCAGTATATTGTAAGGCTTATCCACCTGATATACATCCAGATCACTGTGTTCTCTCCATCCCACTCTCTGCCCACCAGCCCAGGCAACCTCAAGGCTGCAAGGAAATGAAGTATTGCTCCAACCCACAAAAGGCTGAGGACCTGGTTCTAGTTTTTCCAGTTAAACTTGCTTTGTAAAAATTTCCTCTATGTTCGAGGAAGAGCTGATTCCTAAATTACTTAAACTGCTACTGTTCACTTTACCAAGGGTGTTAAAGACAACTACAAAAAAACACCAGTAACAATAGGCCAATTTCATTAATCATAAATAAATTTGATTTCTAAATAAAAGATTAACAAATTGAACCCAGCAGCGTATTCAAAGAATAATGAATACATGACTCAGCAGAGTTCATTTCAAGAATGTAAAGATGAGATGAACATTAAGATATCTACTAGTATAGTTCATTATATTAATGAGTCAGAGGAAAAAGTGAATATAGTAATAGAGTTTAAGAGACACTTGATAATATTTAACATCCTTTCCCACTTAAAAGCTTGTAGTAAACTAGGAACAGAAAGAAATTTCTTTAAAGATGATAGTCTATTTAAAGACTATCTAGCACCAATTAAGGGCAAATACTTGTCATACTACATGAAAGACTGAAGCCCATTATCTTGCCCTGTATTCTTCAAAAATTTTCGGAGGTTTTGGCCAATGCAAGAGGAAGAGTGAAAACTGCGTTATTTGTAGGTGAAATGATTGTCAACATAAAAATTCAGAGGTCAGCTGATGAACTATTAAAACTAATAAGACATTTTCAGTGTGAAAGGATACAAGATAAATACACAAAAATCTATAGTTTTCCTAACTTAGAGCAATGAAAACTATCTCATTCACAATAACAATAAAAACTATAAAATATCTAGAAACAAACTTCACATGAATTGTGCAAATCTATGTAAAAAAAAACATTTTTAGTGTATTTAAAGATATAAAAGACCTAAGTACATGAAGAGATGTAATGGGAAAGACTAATGGAAGACTAATGGGAAGACTCATGATTTTGAAAATTTTGAAAAGAATTAGGAAAGGAATTGCTTTATGAGAGAGCAAATATATTACAAAGTTATAATAATTGTAAGTGTGGCATAGCATAGGAATGAATAAGCAGGTAGTTAATAGAATAAATGAGAATGTTCATAAATAGATATATAAATATGTAAATTTAGTTTGTGATTAACAGTGGCACTTCAAAGTAGTGGGGAAAGAATGGATTATTCAACAAGTGATATTGGAGCAACTGGTTAACCGTTTGGCAAAAAGTAAAGTGAAAAAAAGGTAAAGTGAAGATCACTGTCTCAATCCATTTACTAGAATAAATTAGAGATTGCAAATTTACACACTGTTCTTGAGTGTAGTTTGGCAATATGTATCAAAATTTGAAATTTCCATAATCTCTTATTAAGCAATTCCATTTCTAGGAACTAATTTCAAGGAGGTAAATGGACAAATTTACAGAAATGTCTGTATAAGATTGTTTATTGCTGCATTTTTTGGAATAGTAAAAAATTGAAAACTACTTAAATATCTATCACAATGAAGATTATTTCAAATGTATATTGTGTAACATACATACAAACTATGGGATGCCATGAGTCTACTTTAAAATGATGAAATCGATTTATGTGTATTGGAATGAAGGATAGCCACATCATATTAAGTGAAAAAATCAGGTTCTAAATCTGTAGGTATTCTTTGATCAAAAAAAAAATTTTTTTAATGTGTGGAGGTATAGAAAAGCCCAGAAGGATATTTAACAATTTGTTTCCTTTTCATTTCCTATGGGTAGATTCTACTTCTTTGCCTAGAAGATTCTTCCCCTCCTCTAGCTCTTTACCCAGGTAACTTCAACAGGAGCACACCCTTGAGTTCTTAGCTTAATCTTCTTGTGGGGAAGGGGGGGGGCGTGGGAGGTGGATACTCTATCCTAGGTAGGCATGCTCTCAAAGAACCCTGTACTTGCCATACTACCTATAACCCATACTGCACTTTTTTATCTAAATTACTTAACTTTTTGCTTTTTCTCTAGACTGTAAGCTCCATGAGGACTGCATATGGCTCAGTCCTGTTCCCTCCAGAGCCTGGCACTGTGTCTGGCACTTATTGAGCTCTTACTGGATGCCAAATACTGTGCCAGGTGTCTTAAAAGATCTCACTACACCCTTAGATGCTATTGTCCTCTCCTTTCTGAGGACCAGGACACTGAGTCAGATCGTGAAGTCTGTCCCCAATGCCACTGGCCACGCCGGCATTAATTCCCAGGCCTCTCTGACTCTCGGCCACTACACTCACGATATGGTGATCAATAAATGTCGGAGGACATACAACCAGCCGCGGCTTGCAGACCACTTGGTAAGGACATTGCAGTGGGGATCTAGCACCAGAAGAATGGTTAGACTAGACGCCCTTTCAACTCCGTTACAAACCAGAACCTCGCAGACCCCGCCCATTACGAGCCGCCCGCCGAGCCCGGAAGTGAGCGGCAGGGGCGAGGCGAGCTTCCGGGGCGGGGCGGGGCCAGCGCTGGTTGGCCGGCTTCGGGCGGAAGTCGGGAGGTGGCCCGAAGACGCTGGCTGGTGACAGGGAGGGGGAGAAAGAAGCCCTGCGCACAGGTTGTCTCTCCATCACTTCGCTTCCCGGGACCCCCGGAAAAAAACCAACACCCCAGCCCTGCGGCCGGCCCCTTCCCCAGGCTCTCTCCGCTCATTTCGCCACCGTGATGTGGGAAGCGAATCCGGTGAGTAGCCGGGGGACGGGGCGGACCCAGTGGGCGGGGTTGATGGAAGAGGGGCGGGAGGGGTTCCCGGGAACTGCTCCCCCTCGCCCGCCTCAGGCTGAGTGTTGAGTTCCGGAAGCCCGAAGATCCGGCCCTTGCGGCTTTTCCGGTCTCTGCGTTTTGAGTGGTGGAGAGGGCTCGGGGGTTCGCCAGAGCTGTATTGCTTTCCTATTACAGTTATTTGTTTTCCGTGCTGTGGTTTCTCCGCCTTCGTCCCTGCACCGTGTTTTTAAATTTTGTTTTGCTCTCCGATTGGAGTTCCTGGGCTTCGAACCTGTGCCTCTTCCTTTGCCTCAGGTGTACCTGCCGGTCCCTCCGTCTAAAGCCCGGGATTCGGTCCCCGGGTCTTGAGTGGCCTGAGGGGAGCCATCGGCCCTCCTCTTTCCTTCCTGGGGACAGCCATTTAAAGTTCGGGGACCGCGAGTGTGTTCTAAGCCTGCAGGCGGCGAGGTTCTTGGATGCTTTTCGCAGCGGGCAGAGCCGAGGGCCGGGAGCGTTTTAGGTCTCCTCTCGCTCCGTGTTTGACTCCGGTGTTCGCTTGGTGCCTGCGTGTGTTTTTGTTTCCTTTGCTTTTATACGTGTATTATTCAGTGTGCAGCCCTCCGAGAGCGGACTGTTTGCCGGGAGTGTTCCATTCATCTTGAGTTAGGTCGAAATCGCCGGTAGCGTGGCAGACGTTCGCTGTTGACACCTTTGAGTTGACTGGAAAAGCGGCAGGATCACATTTCAGCAAATTGATAGACTAACTATGTGAAATTACCCCATACGCTGAGATAACTGCCTAAATGTGCTTTAATAACCCTGTTTCCGTGCTTGCAGTAACTCCTGTGCTGTACTCAGTACTTCTTTTCTTTTCTTCCGTTCCTGGAACGTATTTCCAGATAAGTTAGAGAGTTTATCAGTGAGTTCCCTTATCTTTTTAAGTTTTTATCCAGTAGAAACTAATCTGTTGGTCTGGATTTTTTGGTTGCATATTGTGTTTCCATCCCAGACCATCATGTAACAGTGGTCATCATCTAAGATTCTTTTTTTTTTTCTTTGGTTCATACATGTAATCCTGTAATATAAGGCCACGTCAGAGGAAAGCAGTTTCTGGTATTTGATTTTAGCAAAAATAATTTAGAATTATGATAGTGTGCTCTCTGCATATATATTCAGTTTCATTATCTGTCATCAACAGTCTTCATTTTATATCATTATACATATGTATCTGTTTGTATATATTCAATTTTTTATTAGCAGTCCTTCTCTTCTTGATTTCTCCATAACAAATCCTTTAGTCACCCAAGTACATATCTTGCTCAGAGTCACATGTTTTAAATCCGTTATGCTGTGGGCAGGGATTTGTCAGTTTTGTTCAGTACAGTATCATCAGACTAGAGAACAGAGCCTGGCATATAGTAGGCGCTCAGTAAATGTTTGTTGATTTAGCAAAGTGATAAGGTCAGTATTAGAAAGAGTCCTTTGTTCCCGCTGTTCATTCTCCTTCCCCCATCACATATACTATATCAGAATTTGCTATTGGATCATTTCTATGTTTGTGAGGATTATAAAAGCATTAATGAATATCTCATGAATTTGGTTTGTCTCACCTCATTTCTTTGTAAGAAATCCTCAGTTTTCTCTGAAATCACTGTAACAATTTTGCGTGATTTCAGTGGAGCAGGCTGACTTGTGTTAATAGTGGTGAACCTTCCCCATATAATCCCACATTTTTTTTCTTGACCCTTATCATGTCCCCCTAATATGTCTTAAAGGTACTGTGTTTTCTTACTCACTGGTATTTTTCTTCCTTTGAGGGTATGAATGCTGTCAATAAGGACGGTGTAGTTTTTAAAAGTACAATCAACATTCTGCATGTGGGTTTCTCTAGTAATTTGTTAGTTTCTTTTACTAGATGAGGTTTCTGGATAGTCTGTCCAACTTTGCTCATGAAATGAAAGTTAATTTTGATGTTTCCCTAAGCCAAACACAATTGGGAAGATGAAAAAAAAAAACCTACAGTGCATCCTAAAAATAAATGCAGATGACTTTTGTATTATCCCCAATTTAAATCACTGTATACCATTTTTTTTCATTGAATGAGAGAACAAATTCTGCTTCTTGGAGGAGGGCCATTGTGAACTGCTTAAATGAAGACTTCTGCCTTGTTTCTTCCTGTATATTTTCGGTAATATCCATGACTAGTATGCCACGTGTGATCTGCAAGTATACCTTCTGTGTGATGCTGTATTCCACTCCCAAGTGTTTTGAGGAAATGGTACACTGACCCTGGCCATGGTACCACTCAGAAGCAGCTGTTCCTTCCAGGCGAAAAGTCTCCGCGACGTGGTTTGAGTGTGGAAAATCACCATTGAGCTTGCAACATTTGCTTGGAGGGAAAACCCGAAACTAAGAAGCTATAAATAAACTTTATCTCAGTACACAATTTTACTTTATTTTTTAAGACAGTCAAGAGGTCAGTGATGATTCTACTCAAGCCTTTCACTGACCGGGCACCTTGAGGTAAGCGTTAGATCCCTGCCAAGGCAGCCCAGATTGACAGAAGCAGCAGGCACTCGGTTCTGATGTGAGCTCTTGGCAGTTCCCACCCAGCTGGGGGAGGTAGCCCTTGACTAATAGACCCAGTTTAGGAAAGTGGCAAAATCTGTAGAAAGGAGTTGGAGAGGATGCCATCGCTGCCTTGACTCTATATACCCTTACTTTATCCTGCCTTTCTCTGTCTCTTTGTTGTTTTCTCATTGCTCTGTGCTGGGATTGGAATGAGTTGATCACTATTACATAGGAGAAAGTTTCGGCTTCTCTCTGTTACACTGATGAGGGAAACTGAAAATGACAGACATCTCTTCAAGCTTACGAAACATCTATTGCAGTAATAAGACCTTACTTTCAATGATAAACTCTTCCGTAATTCTTTTCCACTTATTAACTCATACTACTAGAATAATCTGATGAGTTAGCTAAGGGAGGGGAGAATGATTTTCCCAAGATCGCACAGGTGAGCAAGCAACAGAGTTATATAGATCCCCATGTCCTCTTTCGCTCCATTCTGTTTGGCAGTAGCAGTGGTAACGTTTATATATTGGTGCAGGGCTTTCCCTGCTGAACCACCTTTTTCTCTGATTTTATATTCACAGCTGCTTCCAAACTCCCTTGGGACTATAATTCCATCTCTCCTTTTCCCATCAAGCTTCTTGCAAGAGTAGTCTTACATTTTTTGTCATTCTTACTCATACCTCAGCTCCTCCAGCCCCGCTTCTGCCCCTAACACCTTACTTGCTAGGAGGTCACCAGGAATTTTTGAATGACTACATACAGTGGCAGCCTTTACACTTTTCACCTCTTCTGTCTTTCTGCAACATTAATGCCATTAGAGGTGTTTCTCAAAACTCTCCTTTTTGGTTTTCCTGGAACTGTACTCCTTTGGATTTCTTTTCCTCTCTATGATTTATGCTTGACTCATAATGTTGACTTAGCTGCATTGCCTTCTTCCATCCCTGAAAGTTTTCTCCTTAACCTTTTTATTCTCTGAACACATCCTTTATTGGTGAGCTCCAAGGCTTCAGATACCACTGTAGTGAATATGCCTGCCAGGTGTACATCTTTAGTCCCGACTCCTTTCCTGAGCTGAGTGATGGACAGCTCTACTGGTTGCCCCTCTGATAGTTCAAAGTTACTATGTCTAAACCAGAATCACCAGTCATTGATTCATTACTTCACTCAGTGGGTCAACAAATATTTAGTAAGTATAAAACACCCTTCCAGATGCTAGAGAGGGAGATTACAAACATGGATCAAATCAGAGCCTGTCCCTCAGGGGCCTTGCAGCATAGCTTGGAGGGAAAAAGTGATCCTAGGGGGTATCTGGGGGACTAGGAAGGTTTATTGAAGTAGGGTACATTTGAGCTAGCTGTTCAAGTTATAGAAGTGATCTGTAGAAGGACAAAGGAAGCCAAATGACAAAGCCCATGAAAGTGAAAGAGAATGACAAGTACAGTTTGGATAAAGGGGTGAAGTGGAGAAAGTGGATATCTGATGAGTGGTCTCAGTATGGGCCTCTTCAGAGAAGGAGGATGGAGGGATTGTGGGTGGTGGTAACTAACATCTGTGTACTGTCTCTTCCGAGTCAGGCAGTGTATTTTATAGGCATACCTTCAGGCTAGGGGGAGGGTGGAGGTAGGATGTGTTCCTGGAAATGAAAGTTTCTTAGAGAACATGGTGTCTAAGAAGATGTGTTCCTAGGATCAGCATACAATCAGAGGTTTCATAAACTGGTATCTTCATCTTTTTTGCATTCTTTATGGTTGTTCTCATAGTGGATTTAGCAAAACCTAGAGAGTGGTGTGATGTGCCAGTGTTGGGTGGTGGGGGCAGTGCTAAGCAAAGTGTGCCCACACGTGGGTTGTTTAATACCTCTATGAGGTAGGAATTAATAAATTATTATCTTCATTTCTTTAGTGCAATACTAAGACTCAAGGTTTGGTGAACTTTCTGAATAAGGTCAGAAACAGGTTTTAAATCCAGAACTTGCTGGCTCCAGAACACATACTCTTTCCAGTGTAACTTAGGATATAAGAGTAGTAGAAGACCTGAGGAAAGTCACAGGGAGTCTGAGATTAAGGAAGGATTCCTGAACTGCAGAAAAGCGTGACCTTTTTATGACACCAACTCCCATGTCTTTAGAACTTTTCTAGTGATGTAGCACATGAGCAGGAGTGGAGAAATAATGTGGCCTTTCCAGGATTGGCATGGCAGATACAGCACAAGTTAAGGAAATGAGTCTAATAGTTTTTGGTATCAGAGAAGGAAACAGAGTTTGGGATACAGGCTGGAGGCACGTGTTTGTGATAGAAGTTGGAAGGAATCAGGTGAGACGATATGCCAAGTGGGACCCGTTTGTCCTGAAACGCTCAGGCAGAATGTTGAGGTCTTTGGCTTCTGCAACTCACCCTCGAAGAGGT